TATCTCAAGTTTTCCAAAATAATTGTACCTCTTTACATTCCTATCAGCAGGATATGAGTTCCTGTTGCTACTACTGGTACAAAATTTGATCAATGCAGTATTATTATCAAGTTTTATCACAGTTTCTTAGATTATTATTGCAAACCTACAGATGATATTTTAGTTTTTATCTTGGCATAATTTCTGCATTTTAGGAGATGAGTTTTGTTAAGGCAAAAACAGCAGAACAGAAATATTTACTACCATAATATAATTAGGAGTATTCATTATCAGAATATATATTAGAAATGTATTTTAAAGAGACTTATTAAAAAGGCTAATTCTTTTAACAAAAACAAGGGAGAAACAGACATAAGAAATCTAAATTTCCTAGTAGTGAAGTTTCTGAAATTTTCACATTTTGCTCAGATATTGCTGTTTTTTGAAAAAAAAATTTCTCTATAGCTTTTGAATGCTAGTTCTCATATTAATAAAATAAAGGACAAAACACCAGTGTTCAGCTTTCTTTGTAATGTAAATAAGTGATGAAAACAAATAGCTTGCAGAGCAAATTCCAAAAGCAGGACAACTGCCAAAAAAATTTTTGTCTAAATTAATTATTTTCATAACATACAATTTTGTTTTTCATTTTTATGGTTTGACACCAACACAGACTTGCTATTCGAATAAATTATGGTACATTGTGTCAAACACTGAATGTGTGAATTTCAGACTTTATGATAATCACAAAGAAAATGTTCTCTTGGTTTAGGTCAAAGCCTAAGAAAAGCATTTTGGCATAGAGTTTCTTGTTTTTTTTGCTTTTGGTATGTTTTAGAGGATGGGGAAAATTCTTTTTAATGTTGGGTCTATTTTCTTATATAAGATATTGAAGAAAAATGTGCTTCAAGGAATAAACGTCTACTATTACACTTCCTTGTACGTAGATACTGTCGCAGGATTCGATATAGTCATTTTAAGTTATGCTACACATAATATGTGCTTCTTCCCTTTGTATCTATAAATAATCATACATTCTCCTGTAGAATGATTGTGGCCCAGTTCTCTAGTCAATGCCTTAAGCAGTCTACCCTGCAGATTCAGAAAACAGCTTGTAAATTCTTTCCTCTTGTATATAATTTTTCTCTCCCTTGACCACACAGCTATGTACTAAGGCAAGTCAATCACTAAATGTGTGCTTAATGTGTAATGTTAAGCAAGTCAACAAGATTTCTTCACCAAATTCTGTGGTTATGCTAGGTGCAGTTTGGCTATGGAAGACTGGGAAATTTATCACCTTTCTCATCATGGAACACAGAGTCTAGCAATGAAGAAAATACAAAGGGCCTACTGACAAAAGAAAGACAAAAACAGTAATGTTTTAAGGAATGTGGAATGCGGAAGCTACCCAGAGGCTTGATACTTGTGCTGGATCTTATAAGATGCTTGTCCAATGGGCAGAAATGAGATATAAAGAAAATATTCTATGCAAAAGGAATGATTTTGGCTTATAGTATGCTTAGGGAATGGTGATAATCAAATTCAGTTGAAACATTTCCAATTATGGTTCAAAATCATTCTACTAGGAACAACTGATGAGCTGGCTACAATAATAAACCTGCAGGAATATGAAGGAGTTGCAACTTCCTTTCACAATGGAATATAAAGTTTAGAAGCAAATAAGTTAATTATAACTGGATAGTTATCATTTTGCGAATGGTCTTGTGACTTGGTTCAAATATCTCTATAAATCCCTCTCTTTCAGAGGTAGAATTTACCTCAAAATTACAATTAATCATAACATTGCTAATAATCATTAGTAATAGTAAAAACTATGTAAACAGACAACAGTGATAAAACTCTTTAAAGAAAGAAAATCAGGTGGAGGATTTGGATTGTTGGAAGAAAAAAGGCAGTGAACTTGGTTTAGGGTGTTTTGGGTCTGAGATGCTAGCAGGAGATCCTAACAACCTGCTGTTAGCTGAGGACGCAGAGACAATGCTTGGACTGTAGATTTAACAGTTAAAGTGCTATGCAGGTGATCATATTGTGTGCAAAGAAGAAAGAAGAGAGAAAGTATTTATGTGTAGTGAAGGTAGAGCACTTTAGAGCAGGGTGCAGAGAAGAAGCACTCAGAGAACCCTGAGCTAAACTGTGCAAGTAAGATGGATAACCAAGTGACAAGTCATAGATTCATCATCGAGCCCATGGACCTGCTCTTATCAATAG